AAATATATTTAGTTGTAAGCAGCAAAACCCCACTTTATAATATTTTAAAGAGTTTTATATTATAGTATAACTTTTCAATATAACATTTATTCTAATTTTTAAAATCTAAATGTATATGTATTTTGACTTTTGAAAAAAATATTCCTATTTAATGCTTGTCTGTCTACCTACTTAAAAGGAAGAAAAACAAAGTGAAAGGTAGTGGTACTGAATGATGAAACACTTTTGGGGCTAGTCTCTTTCAAAACAAAAGGCAATTCTGCAATGTCAAACTGTTGAAGCAAAAGTTGCCCTTCAATGAACTCATTTTGTTAATTGAAATCCTATTTAAACTAAAAAAGTGTATTTAGGTCATATAATGAATTTTAGTGGAAAGCTATGGAGCGATAGCTGCCCCCTCTCACCCCACAAACTGAAACTTCAAATAGCTGCTGTTAAGCCTGTTAATGTAGTTTTCAAAATACTTTGAGTGACTTGATATTTAATAACTGTACATAATTCTTAAAAATTTCTGGCTAAAAATCTATGGTGCTTTCCAAAAACTATACCTCTGTATATTGAGCTTTCAGGTAGTAATATTTTTACAGTCATAGTAGGGAAAAATTATTTCATTTTTTTCTTTCTAACTGGTCATTCAGACTAAGGATGGGTATTTCATTACAAATTATGCATGCACCCACACACACATGTAAATGAACGGAGATGTTAGGACATCTGTGAATACATCTATTTTACTGAGTCACTACCAAAGCTGGTTTCATGTTCTGGGATATACTGAGATGTGTCTGAAAAGGACCATATGAGACAGAACGTTTATCATGAGTCTTACTAATAAAAATAAATTATGTGTAAATAGACATTTAGAGTATTTGCATTTGAACTTCCCCTAACTATTTTTCTCTGTTTCAATTAATAGTTTCGGGTTTTTGTCTTTTGTTACGTGTATCTATGAAGCAGCAGCTAAAATCTGAGAATGAATACTAAGGTTTAAAGTAGTCATAGCTAATGCTCATGTTGGATGAATGCTGTTGTTTATTAAATCTCTTTTTCTCGAAATTCCATTAACTGTTTAAAGTAGAATGTAACAGTACTTGGGAAATTGTTCAGTAGAATTTTTTGTCTTAAAATATTAAGATTTTTTTTTTTTTTTAGTAAATAATAAAAACGATATATACAAAACTTCTGTTTCCTCACCTGTGTTTCAATTTCAAATTTAAATTAAACTAATCTTATATTATTGATCTACTTCACTGGAACAGGCATGACCTGTGTTTTAATATGAAACAAATCTCAACGAATTCTGCCTAGAGACATTTAGAATAGAGCAAAATGAATTTTAGGATTAAAAAAAACAATGTTACAAAATACTTGTTGTCTGTGTTATTTAAAACTTAAATACAGAGCAGAGAGGAAAACACATGGAGCTAAGTTTAGGTATATGACTTTATGGTTTCACTAGCTAAGCCTAGGAAGTCTCTGATAAGTTCCCTCTTACACTGTCTTAAACTCTCTTATACTTTAAAGTATCTCTAAAGGCAAATTGTTATAGCATGGAACATTTTCTTTGATTATATAATTTTCTTGCAAATTCCAGAGTACAGTACCTTAATTTTGGTAATGAAAGTAATTTTCTTTTGAGAAGTTGGGTTACTGTAGAATTTTAAAGCCTGTCTGCGGGTGAGATTTAATTTAATCCCTTGAGTATTTAAGAAGCATTCCTGAGACCGTTGCCAAAAAGTGGCAAGATTAGCACTTGAAGTTTATTGACAGGATGCCTCATAGAAAAGACGTTTATCTGTAAGGGTATTGTTTTTTAAGAAGGAATGAAGTCTGTCTTAAGCTCTGGGAATATACACACTTTCTGAAATACAGAAAGAATGGAGCAGTTTCTTCTCTTACAGTTTCTTCTCATGGCACAGGAACATAGTAGTTTACAGAGGTAAGAATTACATATTAACAAAACTACAGAGTAACTAATTTCCTATCAGATAAAATTACAAGTGCATGAGGATTAAGAAAGTCTTAACAGTCCCTGTCATAAAATTCAGGCATGCTCAAAAGTAAGTCATTATTCAGCAATAAAATTGTATCCTTACATATATGTCTGTATCCAAATATAATTTGGAGAATGACAGAGGTTACCAGAGGGTTTGTTGTTCTTTCTGGGTTTAAAAAATCTAGGAAGAACTAAAGTTCCAAGATTTTAGCACGTGAGACTGCTCAATCTCTTTGCCTCCTGTAATCTTTTTGAGAGAACTCTTTGTGATTAACTCGTCATAAAATCTTGTCTGCATTAGCAGATCTTTACTAATCCCATGCCCATCCCAACAAACATACTCTGCAGTACTGATTCTACTTTCACATACCCCAGTGTGGTCCTGTTCCCATCAAAGTATTTCCTTCAGATTTATATAGCACAAATAGAAGAATAATCAGATCCTTTCCTCTTATTTTATCTATGGACTATGCATTGAATGACTTATTTTAAAGCAGTTGAGATTCAATGGGATGTTTTTAATTTGCTGCCTGTTCACTTTACCTCTGAGGAAAGAATTTTGTAAATGCTGAATAATTTTAGAACATGTTTTCTTGGTTAAGGGTTGGATCATACTTTAAATTAGTTTTAAGAGGAAGGAAATCGTGTAAATGCTGTGGAATTCAGATAAGCACTATGCATAGGAAATAAGTACTTTAATTTAGGGTGCCTAGAATTGGTAGGTCAAGCTGATGATAATAAAGGACCAGATCTTAACTTTCTTTCAAAGAACGTGTAATCAATATTCTCTCTCCTGTTTTATTTCCTTTTTGCTTAAGAAATTATTTTGGTGAAGCTGAAATGTGCAATTGCTTAAGTATTCCACAGGGTGTCATGAGGTAGTTGTTGGAATCATTAATACTTGGATGAAAGGAAAGAAAGAAACATAGTGTGCAGTCCTTTGAATGCCAGTTAATGTAATTTTAGATGTGACTAATACACATGCCATAAAATAAAAAGTTCTTAACTCATTAACACATGTATCTTATTTCTGTATCTGTATAAAATACACACACGAAGAAAAATATTACAAGAGGTCATTTACAAGAGTGAGCTATTCTGTGTCAGGTCTTCCCAAAAAATCTTTCTATATATACCTTAGTATTTTATAGTTTACAGAGCAAGTGGAATCTTTGGCCCATAGCAGTAATCTGACATACCAAACTATGTATATAAAAAAGAAAAAAAAAGAAAAAAAGAAAAAAGGTACAATATTTGTATTTGCCATACTGTTATAAAGAATTTCTAACTGGAGTGTGCGCCTCAAATTTACTTTCAAATTTTATTTTACTTTTATTTTAAATTTTATTTAAGTTCTTTTAAAACTTACATTTATTTAAACGAACTTTATACAGTGCACACAGCTGTACTGTGGATTTTATGATTTGTTAATTATAGAAATATATGATGTCAAACTTAACTTCAGGCTTTTTTTCCTGCACATTAATAATGTAGTAGGAGAATTTTTACCAAAGTATGCCCAAAATTAAAGTGTATTTGATTATGGTGATACATTTTTGCATATCGAGATCAAATTTTTCTTGACATAACTCTTGACTTCTGTGGAGCTGCACATGCATTGAATTCAGCTTCAAGTTTGTAAAAGAATCTTTAAAAACAGTTTAACAGTAGTTATGAAGGATCCTGCTTCTGTTAAAATCTGAATTGCTTTAAATGGAAATGACATTGGCCATGAGAAAAATTACATTACTTTATGAAATGAACAGCAAAACTGCATTTCAGTAGCAACAGAAGGTGATACAAAGTGTAAAATCATTGATGAAGGTAAGAATTTGAATCTCTGTTGACAGTAATAATTTGTCTACTTTTAACAGCATATTTAAAAGCAGTTTTCAACAAATGATACCTTATGGATTTAGGCATATTTTGTTGTATTATATGAAGTGGCATACTGAAATAATAGACTAGTTAATTTTCATGTTACTATTTATTTGTGATCAGTATTATGGAACAAATTCTGGTTTTATGCCAGTGGCATAATAGTGAGTGGCACTGAGAGCATAGGATGAAGGGAAGTTGATTCTTCTGACAGGCAATAAGATTTTATACATAAGAGAAACCACACGTCCTCTCTGCATTATGCCCAGAAGGTCATAGTGCCTTTCAGCCATAGAACACGACTGCCATGACAATCAGAAGCTGAGTGCTTTTATTCAGATTTACTTCCAAAATCCACATGGTCCTCTGGACAATTGTTTGTGCAAAACCTTTCTGACTTAATCACTATAAATCATGACCTCTTTAACAAACCAGTGTATTTATAGGTATCTTAGCAGTATGTTTAAATACTTGTTAGAGGAATAACTAGACCTGTTTAAAGCACTTTTAATATCCAAAATAGAGTGCCATACCTTGAATCTTCATGGAGATGAAGAAAGTGAACGGAAATGGTGGCCTTTGGGCTTTTGGGTTGTTTGGGGTTTTTTTTGTTTCTGGGTTTGGCTTTTTGAAACATAAACATCCTGATCTCTGTCCAGGTGAGTTTCCTTTACAGCAGGGCATCGTGGAAGAAGAGGTTTTTAGATAGGTGGGTTATCATCTTTCTTCTTCCTCACTGAACTCGCTTTGCCTCTCCCTTTCTTAGTCCTTCTTATTGCAACTAGAATAATGTAAAGGGGTAATTCCATACATACTTTGAATTACTGAGATAATGTAGTACCTTAAACTAAAGTGATTAATATCAGAAAATATCTAAATAATAAAATACCTGACTGCACTGAGATTTTTCCTATAATTTATTAGAAAATGATACTTTTTAGCAAAGGAAAACAAAATAAAAAGGGCACAGGTTAAAAACTGTTGATTTTATACCATGTAAAAACTTGGCAGTGTACTGAGGCGTATGTATCATGTATGTGATATGTGTACATTCAATTGATCCTGGCACCCAAGTCCTTCTTTGAATGTTAAGACAAGGTTCATGAATATCTGTTTTTATTTTCAGATTGAAAATCTACAGGAACAACTTAGGGACAAAGACAAACAGCTCACTAATCTAAAAGACAGAGTGAAGTCGTTGCAGACGGATTCTAGTAACACAGACACAGCACTAGCAACCTTAGAAGAAGCTCTATCAGAAAAGGTAATGTTTTCTCATGGAACAGCATGATGTGCTGCTCTTGTGGGTGAAGTGTGTCCAGAAAATGTCTAAGTTGGCACCTGTAAGAAAGCCTATGGGCCTTGTCAGAAAAGCAGGTGGGTCTGTTCTGGTGGGATGAGCAGGGGTGATTCCTGGCTGATGAACTGAAACAGGACTCTGAGGTAAAGATGGATGTCCTTTTAAATGTCCTTGTAAATGGCCCAGGACACTGGAAGATTTTCTCTTAGTCAGTGGGATGAGTGGTTGTTCCCTGAAAAAACTGAAAGTCACAGATGCCTGACTTAAAGAAGGTAGAGTTCTGGGTATTTTTGTGGTTATGTGATCTTGATTATCCTGTTCTTTTGTCTGTTAAGCGGAGCCTAACTGAAGAGCCAACAGCAAGTGACTGTACCAACTGTTGCCTTGGCTTGCTGTTAGCACTATTGGTTTCCTACACTTAATTTATAAGAGAAACTGTATTTCATTAAAAAATGGAGAATTACTTTTTTTTCTTTAAAAACTATATGCCTTTAATTTGAAAATACCTAGCAGAAGGGATAAATCTGGTCTGTTTAAATTAGTGGAAGCATTCCTACCAGTTTCAGTGAGGTCAGGGTTTTTCTTCCAGTTAACTTTGAATACGAGATAATCCAAGTGAATTTATATGCCAAAAAAATGAGTACAAGCATCCACTTTTTGCAGCTCACAGATCTTAAATTATATCATTTAAATGTGCACAGGTGAGTGCAACTAATTAAACTATGATGTGCCATTCTGCAGTGTGTAATCCTAGGAAAGTATTTATGACTGTATGTGACTTTAAAATGCCACTGTGGTGTTGGCACTAACACCTAAAATGCTAATGTTGGATTTTTTTATTTCTTTGTATGTTTAATCACTTTACTAACATTTGCTTGGTCAACAACAATGAAAAAAGTTGGCATTACTATTACTTCTGTGGCTTCATGTGGATAAGCTTACAGCATTTATGCAGTAAAGAAACTACATGCATTTTGTTAAATGGACACAGTGCTCACCAATCTCACAGCATATTATTAAAAAATGACACGAAGTACTTTTTAATCTGTTTTTCCTGTTTGTAAACTGTCTTTTCTGGATTAGTCTACATTGTCACTTTCCCAAAATGCCCGTAGAGGCAGCTGAGAGTTTAAAACAGTCCTTTAACCATCATGCTACTGTTGTCAATGTAGAAAGCAGAGTGAGTGTCACACTGCAAACTTGCCAGTTTTCCTGTGCAACTGAGCATGAAGTAGATCGTCAAAAGCCAAAGAAATCTTGTATCCCGTTTTCTGCCTCAGCTATGTCTGCAGCACTTCAGAGAAAATGCACTCATGCAATACTTCTTAGCTGGGGTAATTTGCTAAATTGCAATCTGTCTTCAATTGTAATGTATTTCTCCGTTGAAAATATTAAATTAATTACGGGGTTCATAGTAGAAGCAGCAAGCGTGAAGGTATTGAATAGAATGTGTATAGTCATCTTCTCACTACCAGAAATACAAAAGGTTAAGAAGTACTGGGTTAAAACCTAACCCAAATTAATGAATGGCAATTAGTTGTTTTCAAGTCATTTTGTACTAGTACCATTCTAAAATTGTACCAGTACCATTCTGAAATAAATGTAAACTAATAAATAAATGTAAAAGTTTTTATAATTTTGAAGAAGTTTTGTATGTATCTGAAAATAAAATATTCTATTATTCTCAGACATACCCATTGTAAAATTTTACTAAGGATGCATTATTTTTGAATATTGTAGTAAGGATTTGTCCCAGAGTTTGTTTCAAAATTGTGCTATAGAATTTCTTTGTGTATATGATGACTTGAAATGTGACAACACTAGAGACCCTGAGGGTATGGAAATTTTGTGTCCAGCTTAATTTGATTGCTGTAACAAAGGTTCAAAGTCCGATAAATTATGCAAGTTTTAATGTTTTGGAAAAGTTGGATAAATTTAGATCCTTCTCTGAAATGTATTTTTGCAATTCATGTCTACTTCATTTGGAATTGCATGGATATATATGAACAGACATTTTTTAAAAAGAATCAGTGTGATTAGTGGTTTTTCCAAGTGGAATTGATTAGAACTCACACGGGATTCCTAAGGTTGAATTCTGTACAAAGTAGTCACTTTGCTTACGTACAGTCAGCTGAGAATGGCATCTTTCCTGCAGTGTTTGCAGGCTTCTCCGAGACACATATACAATGAGTACTGTGGGTTGTTTTCCTCTGCCACAGAGATTTCTGTCTTTTTGCAGCTGATTAAGGCAATGGTATCTTTTGTAAGCCAATGCTTGAGAAGTGGCTTGAAGCTGAGTTGTGCTGTGGTGTCTGGTGACTGTTTCAATCACTTATGGAGAGATTGTTACTTATAAAATTTAGGTGGCAGTATATAAAGGGAAGAACTCTGTACATAAATATGCTTATCATTCTATATTACTTCAGAAATACTACTTTGTTAACCTAAGGAAAAGATACACAGAATTATTAAATAATAACCTTTTACTACAAATGAGCTTTATAACTGAGTGTGTCAATTATTTTATGATGTGCCCAAATCGTTATGCAAATTAGTGTCTGTGTTAGAATAGGAACATACGGCTTGAATTTTAACAGAAAATTTTCATTTGTTTGAATTTGTGTTATTTTCCTATGACTATTTTTCTGTATTTTGAGATCTGTAAACTTAATTAAATTATTAATTAAATCTTTAATATTTGTCCAGTTTCTGAACAGATACGTAACAGTATAGCTCCTACATAGTTACTGGATGATTTACAGTGGCTGGCATTCTAGGTAGCAATATTGATGATAAACTTTAAAATCTAGAATATAGAATACCAGTTCTAAAAGACTTCAAATATTGCCCTGCCCTTTAAGTTCTTTGGCTAAATTTGCTTATGAGAGAATCATGTTATAAAGCTTCAACTTCATGATGATTCTGGTGGACTTTTTTTTTTTTTCTTTTTTTTTAATGTGTGAACAGTCACTGTGTGCTACTGGGAAATCTTTTTACAGTTGGGGAATCATTTGTATATTAGATAAAAAAGAGGAGAAAAGCAGCACTGCAGGGTAGAATTAATGTGAGCTTTTGAGAAAGGGTACTTGATCTTAGAGCATTAGACACAACGAGGAGGAAGTTTCCAAGGTAAAAGCATCTCTCTGTATGATTTTGATTGTTTATTGTACAGAGAAATCATGCACAATTCCTTTCCCATGGTAAGTTTCTTGAAGGCCACGCTTTCAAGGGTAGGGTTTCTCAGTCTTAAGTGTAGTCTCTGGGATGTACTTATACATTGAAAGAAGCCAGTAGGCATCTTCTAGAAGTTCCAAATGAACTATTATGTCTAGCTTTCTTGTGTCTTCTGGCAGCTAAATACCTTGACTGCTTACATATGTGTCTCATTCTATTTGTGTCCAGCTTTCCAATTCATCCTAGCTGCTCTCAATGATTAACCTTTCTTATCCCTATTTCTGTCTGCAGTAGCATTCTTAAGACCTACCGACTTTATCAATAGTTATTAACTTTTTCCACTGCAAATATTGGTAGAAATATCAAATAGATTTTTGTCCAAATGGGACAAAATCAAGAACCCTTAGCGATAGTTTTTTATTAACAAGTGCATCAATATAAGTACTTCTACCAATTTAAATTTTTAATGCTGTCAAGAAAGGATGCTGCTTTCATTCAAGAATACCTGATTTCCATGGAAATACATTGTTTGTTTGTGGGGTTTTTTGTTTTTCCTAGAAATTGTATCAGGCCTAGTTTGCAGCTATATCATTTTGTTTTGTACTCTGAGATTAGGCACAATTTTTGGCTTTACCTTCATTCTTTGTCAATTCAATAGTTTTTAGAATTTTACTTAAAAAAATAATGATGGAAATACTCCACAAGCATCATGGGAAGATCTTTTCAAATAGAAATTATATTTATTTATACCAGTTTAGTTAACCACAATTCACTAAAATGGAATTTAATTGCTTTTCTTAGTTTCTATAGGAAGAAAAATATATTGAAACATGATCATATGATATGAATGAATTATGAAGCTATTTTTAAAGTCCAAAACTCAAATGTTTGAGCATTTATGTTTTTCCTGCGTTGTTCTTGAAAGTACTTAGATTGAGATTTTGGCTCTGAATTAGAAAATATGGCTCTTTATTCTTCATGAAAACAGATTTTTCCAAGTATCTGTCTCTGATTTTCTTTTTCTTTCATATTTACTGATTAGGTAGCTTGGTAACACTAAATAAGAAATTACTGTAGACACCGTAAAACAGCATCAAAATTTCCTGAAATGGACTCCTTTTAATCTTTGTATTTTTCTGGCGATATAATTTGTTCTTTTGTCAGGAATCAGAAACGAATCAGCACAACTTTAGTCACTTTTGAGTGCATTTTAGAACTAAACTGAAAAAGGTATTCATTTCAGTTGTTTACGCCGAAGTTTGGAGCCTCTCCTAAGCACTGAAAATTCTTAACAACAATAAAGATTACATTGCAATAAAAAAATAAGTTTACTCCTATTAAAAAAAAAAAGTTTGAAAATCAGCATATGTAAAACTGCTATCAGCTTCCTTGATGTTTTAACAAGAAACTTTTCAAAGAATATCTCAGCTCTTGGACTGGCCCAAAGCAGCTCAAGAGGTTGCTTTCATGAAGCTGATATTTATAAAGTTGGTCCTACTGTAGCAGCATAGAGCAGATAAGCAATTGAGTATGTCTGATAATAGAGCTATATGCTGTGGCAATTCAGTTCCTGCTTCTGTGATAAAGTGCAAATAGATTAGACCTGTGAGGTCCTAGATT